ATGGAATACACTAGGAAATTCCTGAGTCAACACATCATTTTCTGATGCACAAGGTACATCAGTGACCTCGGGAAGACAAGAAACTTTACTTCCGGCTAAATCATTCCCCAGAATAAGAGAGATTCCTTTCAATAGTAACTGAGTACGTACGGCCACTTTAACTAAACCAGTCACAACGTCAGAACGTAAATATACAGAATGCAAGGGAACTCTGACTACACCAAGTTCAATTCCCTGAACTAAAACATCGGAGTTACAACTAGACTGTGGAAAACGGGAGCACATTTGCTAGAATAAATGACTGCGCGGCGCCCGTATCTCGCAAGATATGTACTGGTTTGGGTTCGGAGTCCAACTCAGAAAACGACACTGTCCCTTCACATACAAAAGGTTCAAAGGAGGGATCAATAGATAGCAGAGAATCGGAAGAGTGAGTACGCACAAACGCTACGCTTTTTCTCTGATTTTTCCGCTGCAGCACAGGACAAGCAGCAATCAAATGACCCTTCTCATGGCAATAGAAACATTCCCGCAACATCATTGAAGAATCAGAAGTCTGCTCTTTTTGAGCAACCACCTCATTTCTAGAACTGTGACGGCGATCTACAGTAGTGTGATGTGAAGAACGTGGGGGCGGAAAATAAACTTTGTGCGTGAGCACAAACTCATCAGAAAAGACAGCCGCCTCTGACAGTGACAAAACCTTTTGTTCATTCAAATAAACTACAATCTTTTCCGAAATGCAGTTTTTGAATTCTTCCATTAAAATTAGCTCTTTCAATTGCTCAAAAGTTGTAACTTTACAGGCAGTACACCATTTTTCAAAAAGTGTGGTTTTCTCACGTGCAAATTCAACAAATGTTTGACTGGGGGTTTTCACATGTTTTCTAAACTTCTGTCGATAAGCCTACGGAACTAATTCATACGCTCTTAACACGGCCGATTTAACAGTGCCATAGTCTAAACTTTGTTCAAGCGTCAATGCGGAACATACTTCTTGCGCTTTACCAACAAGTTTGCATTGTAACAATAAAGGCCAAATGTTTCTAGGCCACTTTAATGTGGCAGCGATGCGCTCGAAAACAGTGAAATAGGTGTCAACTTCACTCTCTCTAAATATAGGAACTAGTGAAATTTGCCTACTAACATCAAATTCATGACTTACCGGCGACGCATGCAACGCTGTAGGGAGAGGAGAGGAGCTGTCTGCTGGGCTTAGCACAGGGGTATTACCCCGCAACCCAGAAGGTGGATGCCGGGCCTGCTCGAGTTTTAGGTCAAGCTCCAGCTCTTTCAACCGGATGTCTCGTTTTGTCTCAAGCTCAACAGCTCGGACATGTAACAACTGACTTTTGTATTGTTGTCGGCTTAATTCCACTTCCAGTTCTTTCAACCGGATCGCCAACAATTGATCTTTCTGTGCAGGAGGACTACAGGGATCCATGCGAGCCCCATCATCAAATTTGAACTCCGCCTCGACAGATCCAAATCCTCAGACAGTGCTGAAGATGCAACACCCGTAACCTCACTTTCAACACCAGGCAAGATCTTTTGCTTTACAAGCTCCATATGCAGTACCTCCTTAATCTCTCTCTTAAGCGCATTTCTCGGTACAACTATATCAAAGAAATCAGCGATTAACAAAAAATCGTCTTTGCGACATTTTTCAAATGTCTCCTCTGTAGGAGCGATCGTGAATTTATCGAGCTCAAATTTTGATGCCATGCCAATCTCTATATTTCCTCCCACACAAAAAGAAAATCCCCAGGCAAACACTAGCAAAACAAATTCGGCTAATAGAACATATCTAGCCAAGGGACGAGCCCCCAATTTCATGTTACACCCCGTCTAGGGGAAAAGGGGCAACATGAAAGAGTCAACAAAAGGCGAGGAATTGGAACAAAAGTTATTTATTTTTAATTTGGGACTTACGATTCAGGAGCTGACAAAGCCAAAATAACAAACAAAACAACCTTAAATTTAAACCTCTTTCCTAAACCCTAACCCAAAAGAAAAGAAAATGAAGATACAATCAATAAACCTATCTCCCTAAACAGAGATTACCAGAGAAAACCAGAGAAAACCAAAAACAGAGATTAAACAGTTTACAATAAAGAAAATGGCGTCGAGCTCCCTACTTTCCCAAAAATCAATCAGTATTTACAATATATACAGCCAGGCAAACAAACTGAAAAGGGCAGTCCAAATCAGTGTCGGTAAACAGGCAAAGGGTCAAATATACCAATGAGGATATTCAGATACAAACAGCTTTCAAAACAAATAAACAAACAGTACTCACAGTCTCAATACACTTAACAGTCTCAAATCACAAACTTTCTCTTTCAAATCAAACAAACAAACAAACAAACAAAAAGGGTACTCAGTCTCAAAAACTCTTAACATTCAAATCACAAACTCTCTCTCTGCTCAAAACACAATATCTCCCGACTTCCTGTAAAGGAAGTGATGTCTCTTTTTAAAACAAGCTGCACCAATCATGATCGAGCAGCAATCATCGTGCAGGAACCAATCAGATTGGCGTTCCAATCATCCTGCAGGAACCAATCAGACGACGTTCCTAAACAGACATACTGAGAGACTGACAAAACAACAGAGATAGCAAGATACAAACCATAGGGTCGTAACAGTGGCTATTGGCTATTATTTGCTTGATTTGGTCATGGGCCTATACGCTACAAAAGTTTAGAGCGTCCGCTACTGGATGAGATGGCAAACAATAAAATAAAAAACAAACCGTCTAATCATAGACTGTTTAAAAATGCGCTACACATGGCACTTTAAAAACCGGATAGTTTATTTATAGTTCGATTACTGATATTTCACGTCATGTTCGAATGCATATTCGGATATCGAATAAAAAGTGACAGCCCTAATAGCAGCCATAAACAAGGCAGTTAATTGAAAGATTAGATGGGTTCACTCCTCCCTAAATTACGTTGTGAACTTCAAGTAAGTTGTGCTTGGCCATTTTTATAATCAGAAAGATGGTGATCAGACAAATTACATGGATGCTGAAGAACCCATTTTCTTTCATGCCACTTTATGACATAACATACTACTGGTTCATGTTTCCACTGATTTGCTCTGTTGTGAAAGCTCTAACCACCTAGGTCACGGGTTCCCTTGTTAGAGACCAGCAATGTTTTGTGGCCAGTTCGGAATCAGGATTTGGGCACCCTTCCAGGGTTTTTGTGTAGAAAAGCACAACCCGGTACAAGGGGCACCGGCTTCTGTACCAGCCCCAGTGGATTTTTTTTATTTTTTACAATTTTTTCAGACGTGAAGAAAATGTCTTTTTATTATACATAGTATTTGGACAAGTTTGGTACTTGTTGAACTAGAATGGACTGTGAAGGAGAAAGCAGCCCTTGTCTGTTTACTACCTTAGAGGAACTACTCGGTCCTAATACTATGTACTGACCTTCCAGAAAAGACAAGCCTGATGTTCTTGGTCCACTCACTGAAGATCAAACAAGTGAGCAATCTGGGCTCATGGTGACAGCTCAGCTGGAGGTTTGGAGCCAGATTAAGCAACAGATGCACATGAGGAGAGCAGAATATCAAAGTCTTGAACCGTATCCACACCCATTATCCAGCCTGATGAATCCCACGCCATTTCCAGGATTCGTTTGAGAATGCAGCCCAGCTATGGGGAGCATGAAATGAGGGACATGAGCAGTACTGATGGGAAATCTCTGACAAGGTTGAATAAGGTCTTCCCTGCGGCAGACAGTGGTGTGTAACCAAGAAAGGAATTTCCCCTGCTATACCGTCACTTCACAGACACTGTATTTTGCCTCATTTGAATGTTTTACCATGTTCATAATTGCTAACTTTACATGACTTGACATATGGCCATGCTCTTCGATCTGTGATCATGTTCATCCAAAATAATCACATTGGACATACATAAACTGATAGTTTGCAGATTAATTACTTATTTTTTTTGTGAACGTCATAATTCACTGACAACAAAGAGAAGCATAACAGCATTTATATAATAAAACTCTTGAGTGTTTTCATAATCATCAGTTATTTGTCTGCAAAGGGCAAGCTGCTCCTTGGCATTAACCGCTGACTGTTCCACCACAGAATGTGAGCAACACATCCATCATGATTTCTGGGTTCAAGCAGAGGCTCAGTCAGACTAATATCGAGTCAGATGATGAGGAGAACTAAAGGTTAGTCATTTTGTTAAATGGCACGGTTTATGCATGTGTTTTTAATTCTGATAATTTTGCTGATGTGACTATTTCAGGCCCAAATGAAAGCTGAACTTTGTTGGAGGAGTTCTAAAAGCATCACATTGGTAGCAGTTTACTTTGTAACAAACTACACGTACATAAAAGTACCAATTCTAAATAAAAGAATGCACAACACACACACAAAAGACTTAGCCAGTACTGAGGGATACACCTTCAGTAGAGGTAATGTCTTAAACCCCCCAAAAGTTGTTTAACACTGACATCTGCTGTTAAGTCTAATATTTCTATTGTAAGCATGCATGTCTGAATGTATATAGGAACTACATTTTTTTAGTAAAACCTTGCCGTCACAAGATCAGGGAATTGCTATGAGGTTACCAAGGTGGCTATAATTCAATGTGCCCACTGGTTGCTTTTGGGTGGCTTCTTATATTCTATTGCCCACCAGATGAATATCCCGGATTAAATATTATCCCATTGAAACCTATCCTCATTTCCATGGCAAAAACAATGTGGGACACTAGTTGCCCGGCAAAGTTTAATATTCTGCTATTTTTAAAAGGTAAGCCTAAAGGGTAATAAAAGCCCTAAACTTTAATTAGCCCACACAACCAGAGCCAATCAAAAGACTGCAGTGAATGCTGGGCTGATATAGCGTACACTGTGTACTTTCTGAAATATATAGAATATCCTGACTGGTCAGATTCACAGTGCTCATTTCACCACTGCTAAATGTGGCTTGAATAATTATAAAAGAGAATCATGAAGGCAGACTTGATTAAGACATGTTTCTTTACTCATGTACTCATAGCAGTCATATAAATCATTTTGTTTAAAAGAAAAAAGACATTCATTTTTGCATGTTCTAAAAGTATGAGTGCAATTCTTTTTACATAATTTTAATGTACTGTGCAGACTTTTCATGTTGAAATATACAAATTTGTTTCAGCCATAATATTGATTACAAGTGCTTATACAACACATTTACAGCTATATGATTAATAGACCTATATAATAAACCTATGCTTTCACACCAGTAACAGTATTGAAACTGAAGTTCAGAGATGTTTGAGCTTTAGGTATCATTGCTGCTTCATACTTGCAATTCTTCTGGTCTACTTTTATCACTGGTATCAACAACAATGCACGATTAATTCTGCAGCTCATCTAAGCAATTTGCTGTTAACCTTTGGAGTGACTTGAGAAGTTTGACATATTTGAAATGTACATTATACAAGACATCTAAAGCCCAAATTATATTACAGTAAGATGTAAAACAAACAACTCAGTCATTAGATGCCATTTTACACCTTATCTCAAAATGAAATAACCTGGTTTTATTAAGAAATGTAAAGTAGTGTTAGTGCTAGAAATGTATCACAAGAATCTAAATGTAATCTTATATCACTTTTTTTTTTCTTCCACCACATCCGTGAGCTAATTCCTTCTTCATTACGAACTAAAGGGCCGGAGGAGAGAGGCTAGGGAATGTTACATTCGCTTTAGCCAGTTCATACTGCATCTAACCCTGCAAACCTACAGAGATGGACCTACAGGTGCTGCTGAGCCATTGACCTCCCTTCACATGTGGATGGCATTGGATTTGCAAGCAAGAAAATAAATTAAAGAAATGAGAAAAAGGGGAAGGGTAGAGGAAGGATCTTCATTTGGAATACTGCCAGATAACAATGCTGATGATGACGATCACTACGGAAAGGACCACTGCCAGGATACACATCTTCTTACGAGACTTTTGCTACAGTGATGGAAAGAAAATATTGTCATTATCAAATAGAATGTATGCAACATGCATAGTTTTATATCTTGATCCATTTGCCCTAATCGAAACTCTAATTTACATTAAAGTTTGCATCAGATGTTGCAGGCCTCCAGACTAACATTTGAGAGCAGTAGCACCGGTGCCACTAAGTTCTACAGATGGTAGAGCCAGCACCTGATTTGGTAGTGCAGAGGGGGATGGGGGATTGTTAATCACTAAAAAGAGCACTCTTTACTTGCTTTGTGTAATTCTTCGCAATTTGAAGAAGTTTTTGCTTTTCATGACACTTTGTGACTTTTCAGTCACTTCAGTGACTACTTCAGTACAAAAGTGTCAAACTTTATCAAAGTTTATTTTTTGCTGACTTGATCATTTATATTTAGATAATATGAAATCCATATTACAAAAATAAAAGCATAACGTGTGGGAAAAAAATATTAGGGAGTGGAAATGGCTAATGAGCCAATACCTGCTCCTCTGCTGTCATCTACTGGTTATAGGCCAAATTTTTTGGTCATCACATTAAACTTGATAATGTTTAGGGCTTTGAAGTGCTTGAAAAAGTGTGGGTAACGCTTCCTTTTACAGTCCTGTTACCCATGTACTTACTATGTACTTATTATAGTAATTATAATTACTGGGTAATAACTAGGTACTAACCCTGAACCATGTACTTACCATATATTAGCCAGTACTTTCTAGGTAAGTACACTGTAAGTACACGTAAGTACTGTACTGTAAAAGGAAGCGTTACCAAAGTGTGAAGCACTTGAAAGTCCCTGAAAAGTGCTTGAATTTCACTCTCAAAAGGTTGTACGAACCCTGAAATAATGTAAAAACATTTGACTATTTCTGCCACAATATCATGGTTACAGTTAGCATTACTACATTACATCCATGGCGAATGTTGGTGATTTGTGGACTGAAATGCCTTCTTTAACTTGTTCATTCATGGCACAATTTTTCTCATGGTTTCCACGTCAGTGCTATTTGATCTGATTTTTATGATTTATAACAGAGAATTGGACTCAGTTTCAATGCTTCTCAATAGATCTGGCGGTGTTAATTATACTGCGGAGAATTCAAACGCTTTCTCACTTGATCTCCCAGCGCTGTGTAGTAATGGTGTCACGTGATCGAGATCGGCCCGCAAGTACATGTTCTGAGCTCGCGCTGCGCTATCTGTTATTGGTTCGAGCTGATAAACTGGCTGTGCCGCGCAGCTCAAACGAGTAGCGTGGTTTTGTTCCACTTTCGTTTTTGTTTGCCGTTTCTCATATGCCACAGAAATGGCAGCTCTTTTAAGTTGGGCAACGTGGTGGTCGCACCAGTTTGACCAAAATTTAGTCGCACTGGCAGGAAAAAAGGTTGCAAAATGCATTTGGTCACAGTGTGGAGTCCTGTGTTGTCCTCCCAAAGTGACTTAGAAGACAGTGCATGAAAAACTCAAAAGACACAGGTGTTCTAACTGAGAATGCATTTATGATATTTAAAAAATGCCATAGCTGTCTTTGTGTGTGTGTGTGTGTGATGTACAGTAATGCTGAAGCTTTTACTGTACCTGATACTGAGCTGCTCTCTGTAGTTGCTCAGCTCCTCTCTCCACATGCACTTCTGCACTTTCCACATTAGCCTCTATGCTATCTGTAATAAAATGCATTTAAATATCAGTTGTCACTATATCGCCCAATAATACAGCCGTGGCAGTACATATTGGCAGTGACACAAATTTTGTGTTTCACAAAGTTTGCTGCTTCAGTTGTTGTGTGTTGATTAACACTGTTTCTAGATTATTGTGTAGAGAGATCAAATGCATTTTAAATAATTGCAAAGAGCTTCATTGTGTGTTGTCAAGAAGGGCAGCAAAGACGCCACTTCTCTACAAGAAAAACATCAAGGACAGACTGAAATTCGGCAGGAAGAACAAGGATTGGACAGCAGAGGACTGGTGTAAAGTTATTTTATCTGATGAAGCCCCCTTCATACTGTTTGGGACATCTGGAAAATCGGTGAATGCTGCCATGAGTCCTGTGTCGTGCCAACAGTGGAGCACCCCGAGACCATCCATGTGTGGGGTTGCTTTTCATCCAAGACAGTGGGCACTCTCACAATTCTGCCCAAAAACATTGGCATGAATAAACAATGGTATCAAAACGTCCTGCAAGAGCAACTTCTCCTAACGATCCAGGAGCAATTTTGTGATGATCCATGCATTTTCCAGCATATCACAAGGCAAGAGTTGGCTCGGAGATCATTACATTGAAATTTTGGATCCGTGGCCAGGCAACTCCCCTGATCTTAATCCCACAAAGAAGCTGTAGTCAGTCCTGAAAAAAGTCCACAAACTCTGAGCACTAATAAGCCAAGAATGCATCACCACATCAGTCAGGATTTGGCATATACTGTAAGCTGATTTCCAGCATGCCAGAGCGAATAGCAGAGCTTATGAAGTAGAAGGATCAACACTGTAAAAATGGACTATTTGCATATATTGAATGTTTTTGCAAAAAAAAAAAAAGAAAAAAGAAAAAAAAAGAAGACTTTAAAACTTACAAAATGCTTATTGTTTTCCAGTATACCTTAGAAACATGTGGAAAAGATCTACAAATACCGAAGAAGCAAACTTTGCAAAACACACAATTTATGTCACTGCCAATACTTTTGGCCATGGCTGTATGTCTTAGTAAAAGGATATTTAATTACTTTGTTTTATGATCACAGCTCAGAAGGTTTTATTGAAAGGGTCAAAACATAATCTAATGATGATAGAGATATGTACATATAAACATTCCTCAAAAGCCTGATGTATCATATTTAATACTCACATTTCAACATGCTTTTTCTACAAAACATCCAGTAAGTGTTCGTCTTGAAATATTACTAACAATATAAAAGTTATTCTTACATAAAATATATATATATTTCACAGCAAAAATGTGTATCACAACCTAGAAATACACTAAAAGGACTTTTACTTCCTAAAAAAAGTATAAAATATCAATCAGACGACAGAAGGCATTTAGTAGATTGTGTACAACAGGTTTTTCAAGCAAAGTTGATAAATTAGAGGCCTTAGAAATGTGTAGGTTTAACCTGTTGAATTCACAACAAATTGCACTGCTAATATCCTAAAAGTTCTGTCATCATTTAATCACCATCATGTCATTCCAAACCAATATGACATTAGGTCTGACTTGTATGGTAATTTTGCATCCTTGGGACAAAACAGCCAATAAATTGATCAAAAATTCACCTTTTGGTTCCATGGAATAGTCATACAGGTTGTGTGATTAATGCATGAATAAATGACAGAATTTTTGTTTGAAAATGTTGTAACAGCAGTGTGCAGAAGTATAGATTAAAGACAGACTGTACTTACCTATCATTTCACCCTGATCATGGATCATCACAGCGAGATCCTTGAAAATCTGATTCACATCCAAAATGTCTGACTGCAATAACAGACGAGGTAATGAGCAAAATTACAGATGACAGCACAAACACGTAACTCATGAATACAAAAATACACTTCATGTTCACAGCAGGTGTAAGCAGGGTAAAAGTAGTGTATAATGACAGCTACAGATTGTCTAAGTGACTTGAGAGGTTAGTTTGCATATATTTGTGCAGCATCTTTAGTTTTAAACTGACACACTGAATTGGCCAAAAAAAAAAAAAAAAAAACAGGTAGTGCTGGGAGGAAAGGAGGAAACTGACCTCAAGTTGTCGAATGGCAGTTTCTCTTTCTTTAATGAGCTCCAGGTCCTCCTCTGTTATGGCCACATCTTCTGTCTGAATGGTGGTCTTAGCCCAGTCATCATTACTGCATGCACACACAGAATGTTTTCAACTGCAATGCTTTTACTCCGTGCTGGGAGCTCATAATCAGGGAATATCTGAGACATACTTATCAAAGGAGACGAGCTGCTCCTCATGACCTCCATCTTCAGCCTAAAGTAAATCACAACACAAAAGCACTTCACTAAATAATACATACTGAAGAATACTTTAAAAATTAAAAACATAGGTCAGCATCAGCAACTCATTTTACTAACAGTCAGTATATTCTGCACACACAAAAAAGGGCAGATTTTTTTGTGTTCCACTGTGTTTTGTTTGAATGGTGTAAAGTAGGTGTACCATACCACAATGAATGATTTCACAATGTTTGATCTCAAGTATTTTCATTTATTTAGTAAAAGACTTTATAGAAATGATCCATTTCAATAAAATATTTGTGTGTAGGGCAAGAAATGAGCTTTTCCAATAAGGAGCAATATTTGCCCCTTGAGATTGATTTCTAGGGCCATATTTTACCTTTGTAAGGTAATTTTTATGATTACCTTACATTTATGATTAAATGTACCTGCTCTTGTTCATTTTGTTAATTTCTAACCCTGTTGTAAGGTATTTTTGGGTTCAAGTTATCAACATTCTAACATCAGGCTCTATTCCAAACAAATGTAAATGTAGTCGAGCCTTGTGCGATTCACATGTGGGGCAGTGTTTCTGCCCTAACTAGCTACCCATGGAGACGTTTCACAAGGGTTTGGATCGGAGCTAATGTGGAAACATTATTCTTAAAGGACCGATAAGTATATCTTACAGAGAGGCGAGACCCTGCTCGGGCTCTGGCCACCGACTCCTTCTCTTTCTCTGCGGCTCGACGCTGCACTGCTTGGAAGTTGTTGAGAGCAGCGGAGAAATCATTCATCAGCCGGTCCTTCTGGATTTTCTGCTGTCTCTGTTTAAAGATGAAAATCAATGATTTTAACCAAACGATTCAGAAAATAGATTATTCAGCAACACCTTTAACTGACCTTTTCATTTGAATTTGTATTTCCTTAGGCTTCATGTAAACATTACTCTGGAGGTTAAAATGTGAGCCTGCACATACAAACGCACCTGTTCAGACAGGGAGACAGGTAGAGAGAGTACGCCAAGGTCTTTCAAGTGTTTGTTGGTCTCTTTGGCCAGCTGGTTTGTGTAGTGCTGCACCTGCTGACTGTATACAAATCACAAATACTGAGAATACAAGTGCACAAGAGGACCAGGAAGTGCACAGCTATAATTAAATCAAGAGTTAAACACTCACAGTCTCTCACGCAGTTCACTGGTGTCTTGATTTGTTCCCAGTTGGTTTACCATGCTCTTGATTTGAGCCGCTAATGTAGAAAACACAAAGTTACTCTAAAATCAGGCTGTGTAGAGTCAATGCAGGTCTCTCACAGAAGACAAATACGGACAGTAGTGTGAATCTATTTAACAAATGTATAAATCATAGTTCACATCAACAAATAAACACAAAACAAGAAGAAATATTATTTTGTGCATGGAGATAAGAAAAAAAACGTAAAAGCAAAATACAAAATGAGTCCAATTAGTAAGAAATAAAATCCCATTTAATTAGATTATTCAAGAATGACTAACACACTCATTCAAAAGATTAGGGTCAGCAAGAGTTTTTTTAATTAATATTTTTAATCATCAAGGATGCATTAAATTGTGTCAGTGAATAGTACATCAACAGTGACAGTAACATTTATAATGCATTTACTTTGTAAGACTGGCTGATAAGAATTCAGCTTTGACATTGCAAGAATAAATTACATTTTAAATATATATTCATATAGAAAATTATATAATTTAAAATTGTAATAATGTTTTACAATATTACTTTTTTTCTCTATTATTTGATTAAATAAATGCCTTGGTAAGCATAAGACTTCTTTTTTTTTTTTTTTTTTTTTTACTTCATAATCATCTCGGAGCTGTATAACTTGCTTCATGGATCAGAATTCTTTATTGAACAAATTTTTGAAATCCCAATGGTGAAAATGACTGAAAAAATGGCAAAGAAGTGGCACTGAAAAGGTGCACAGTTAGCAAAAAATAATTTCATAAAGCCAAACAATCTTAAAGTGTGTATGTCAGGTTAATTTTTTTTTTTTTCGATATATTAAATAAGGTTTAGATGTCTGAGTGAAAATGTAATTATCATTAAATTATTACTGTAATTGCCCTACAGTAAGCTTTATAGCCATTTCTGTCAAGATCATATTTTTAAAACACAGCTGAGCTGTGACGTCAGAAGAGGGAGACGTGCCAAAAAAGTTCTATTCAAGTATGGAGAGTTTTGAGTCTAAGGAGATCCAAAATCCCCCTCAAACCTACGATGGCCCACAGCCATACAATTTTGAGCCTCCCAGGCGTGAGACAGATGAGGAGCCAAACATAAATTTAAATAATTCCTATCGAAGAAACATAAATATCTGGTGTGAAGAGAACCAGTGGAGAGTTGGTCAGGTGTCTTGGTAAGTAAGGCTATAGACATAACTTGGAGGTGGAACGGTACATGTATTCGTATTGAACCGAAACGGTACAGGCGTCACGGTTCGGTGCATGAATATACACAGAGAATACACGGTATAAAAACAAAGTTGACCCAGGCACGGAACACAGACCTGCTTTTTGGGAAAAAGTGGACTCTGTGACCGGTTTTAGCTGTGTTTTTGCACCCAGCACAAACGCAGTAATTCACCATCGTGAAAATACGCCTGCGTATACCTAACTAACTACCTAACTTAAATAACTAACTGAATAAATAAATGTCCTAATCACTAATTCTCTCGCTCTATCACACGTACAATTATCAACACAGCTCAAAAACTCACTTTCTCAGCGACCTGGGGAGACGTCTCCCTCTTATGACATCAAGCGATTCGTTTGGGGGGAGGAGCAGTTTTATGTGAGTACTGAAAATAACGAACTTTTTCATCTTATATTCTGCCTTTAGGTATCGAAAAACATACAAAACAATACATCAACTTGTCAAACGAGTATTTCCCCTAACTATTTTGTGTTAATCATAATTACAAATTTAACCTGACATACACACTTTAAGCATCCTACAAACATGATTTCTTTCTTTATATAATTTATATTTGTATTATCTTTTTTTACTTTTGATTTGAGAATGAAATATAACCCAAGATGTTCTTCAAGAAATTAATTCATGTCAGACAATTCAGAAAGTTATTTTTCACTTCATTTTTATTCTCATTCTTAAGCCAGGGACACACCAAGCCGATGGTCAGCTGCACCGTTGGCTCTAGTCAGGTGCAGTTTGGGGGGGGGGGGGGCCCCATGTAGAATCGGGGTCAGTGAGAGAGAGAACTCTGATTGGCTGTTCAGTTTAGCGAACGAATCAGTGCACAAGAATAAGAGAAAAAGTGTTGAAATCATAACAGAAGGCTGGTCTAATTTTAAGTCATCTTACCTGAGCATTCCAATGTGCAAATATTTACATAATTACATGAGTGGAGTGAGCAAGCTCTGCTTTGTTTATGGTTTGGTTTGTATACCTGCGGTCTTAGTTTCGCTTTCCTATTTTAGGGAACGCGAAACTAAGACTGCAGGTATACAAATCAAACCAAAAACAAAGCAGCGCTTGCTTACTCCGCTCATGTTATTATGACAATATTTGCGCATTGGAATGCTCAGGTAAGATTACTTAAAATGACGAATATATACCAATATATCTGCTTAAATAGACAGTTATCTCCTTTAACGTGCGTGCAAGCTGACAGTCGGCTGTAGTCCTTTCGGTATGTTCAAGCATAGATTTTTTGCCCAGACGCAGGCGACGCGAGGCGACAACACAGTCGGCTTTCATCAACGCTAGTTTCTTTGCCATCGGTTTGGTGTGTCCCTACCTTTATACACAACATGCATCCTTTAACAGTTTTATGCAGAGCTTAATCATCATGAACCTTTCACAATGTTGTCAAATCTATCTGATATACTACCTGGTAGTATCTTTAGATTAATTGCAACTAACTAGCACTTTTTTAAATCAACATCACACACTGATAACCGACACAGATCCAGCAATCTCCAGACACTCACTGTTCTGTGTGATCTTTTGAATGTTGGAGCTGCATGTCTGAATGAGGCTGATGAAGTCTTTTGGTGGGACGCGCTGCTCTGTCCTTCCGTACGACATGACTGCAGGATATTCTGCTGGCTCCGATGGATGTCTCGGGAGAAAGGGCGGATGAAACTACAGCAGGAAGTGTATATCAGTGCCTAAAAATGCTGTGGACAGAGAAACAGCAATTATAATATTACACGCTATAATGCCTTATCATTGCAGCCACTTTGAGCCTTTAACTAGTATAAGGAACAGTGTGTAATGTCACCTTACATGCTCGGTGGCAGTGATGATAAGAATAGATCAAACTCAACATGATATTAAACAGCCCAGATCACAGTATGAGTGTGTACTGTAAAGCCTAGAAACTGTAGTATATACTGCCTGAATAACTTTCGCCTGCAGTTTTCAACTAAAGGTTGAAGATTAACATAAAAAATAGCCTATTAAATTAAAAGTCTGACACATGAAACACATTAACATGAATAGGGATGAAACGGTTACTGGTTTGATGAAAAACCATGAAACAATTCCCAATTAGTATTATCCGTTCCTATTTTAATTATCATTAAAGCCATATTTGATTTCCACAATTTGGAAAAACTCACAGTAACACTTGTCACGTTTTGTTTTGTGTGAAAACATGGTGGAAGGAGTAAGAGGTTTTACAACCTCTTACCTCTACAACTTTTGAAAACCTTTACAAGCAAGTGCTGAGGGAAATTATATGAATGAATGAATGAATGAATGTATGAATTAATAAATTATATGAATGTTTTCTGTTTTTTTTTTTTTTCAGAAAAGTTTGACTGTTTTTGTTCAGCCCAATGCGAAAAAACCAGGCTGAATTTTAATGCACAGATAAAATACATAATAAATTTATCATACCTTTGCTTTAAAGGCTGAAATGGCTTTATATACATTTTTTTTTCACTTTATTAAACATGAAGTATGTTAGAAGTTATGTTTAGAGTCACCCCACCAATATTTTTAATTAATTTAAAATTCATCCGTCATTGTAAATGTTATTACTTTAATGTTTAATGCAAACAAAAAATGCATAAGGCTGAACATTAACAGCACATTAAATCAATAATACTGTGATCATTTTTGACTCCATCATCATGATATTAAATTTTCATAGTTTTAACTCAAAAAACTATTTAGACACAATGCAACGTTAGTGTTAAACTGCTTACTCATATTGCAGAGTCAACAAGTATGTTTCACCAGTATCACACTCAGTTTAGTTAAACATGCAGTAAACGTCCATATATAGCCTAGCACTATTACCGTTATTCTGGGCAGATGAGTAACGTTACGTTAATTTATGAAGGATTAAATAACTAAATAAGATCATTATACCAGACCAGAATAATATTCCATAGAAAACTTAATGAGGCGGTACTAACAATTAATGGTCATTTTCGTTATTTTACTAGTATATGTGTCGTTTATTTATTTTCAGGTGACCATAAAACTATGTTAAAGAGAAACCGACACCAGAACAGTGAAAGCTAAGCTGGTGAGCTAACGTTAACTAACTAAAACACCTTTAATGACGTAAAACACCGCTGGAAACTTTTGTTACATGATAAAATGATTAGGTATTATTTATAAAAAGTCAACAGACTGGTTTTCTCTTAAATACCACAAAAAAACTAACTTGCAATTCAAACAGAAACCCGTTAAAGCACAAAACAACACCCTAGTATTAGCATAAATATACTGACACAAAACCATCATAATGCTGCATTATACCATCCACATTTAGCCTACTCTGACATCTAAAGACGCTTTCATGTCCATTCCGAACATATATTACACCAGTCATTGCGTTGTTTTTATTATTTCTGAGAAATAAATGTAATGCTCTTACTTGAGTTCAGGGCCGCTCCTTACTCGGGACTTCCGGTATGATGCACTTTGTACTTCCGCTAAGGGGCAGTGCCTTCAAGAGCACGTGATAACACAACTGGGTACACAAACACACACCAATATCCTACTAGACGTTTCTGTGCATGTTTTGTGAACTTTTATTTTGATTTTTGGTAGACTATCCCGTATCTACTGCCTTGCTTGATTGTACTGTTATATTTATTTTTTCTTTTGTGCTTGATACATGTATCCCCTGTACTTTTTGTTCATTAGAATAATAAAAAAAAAAAAAAAAAATCCTACTAGACTGTGATTTAAAGAAATAACCAGTAAATAGCTTAAATCTAAACTAATAAAAACAATGTACAAGTCTTTTTCTCAATCTCTTCAAATTTATATAAACGACCTTATTTTATTTAATCTTTTATCATTATTTATTACCACTGAATGAACCACTTTGTAGTTTAAATTATATAAACCCCTTTGTATTTGTATTTTTTTTCTTGTAGCTTGCATGTTTTTTTTGTTTTGTTTTTTGGTCTATACTGTACTTAAGCTTAAATAAAAATAAATAAAGTCAGTAAGTGAGAACAAATCAACATTTGGTGCCAAATTAGCAAACCCCTATTGGGTTATTATTGGATTTATTTTGATTCGGTATATGCATAAAGCTAGATGGATAAAATATGTAATACCTTAACCATCTTTTAATAGAAAAAACAAGACATTGCTGTTCAAACAAAAACTTATTTCAGTTATTTATTTTACTAAACTTACTGTTTATTGTACACTTCCAAACAAAAGAACATGGCAAAACAAACAAACCTGAATTCATTTCATTTATACACTTCTACAGTGACATTATAAATCACATACAGTACTGCAAAAGCTGCATTCTTAAAAAAATTAACTAATGTAATTTTAATTCATTTTCGTCCTCAGTTACCTTAATAATGGATTCTTTGTAATATAAACAAACAGTAAACAAGAGTGAAAAAACAAGAGTATATGTACTCAGTCCATATCCTCATGTTGATAAATTGGTTCTGGTAGGTAACAGGTAACACTACAGGTGACCCCGTCCCATGATTCAGGAGGCTGGAAGAAACAACCCATCAGAGCACTGTAAAGTTCCTCACTCTGGTCCATAAATCTCTCATTTGCCTCCATCACATTTATTCCAGAGTCTGGATCTGCAACACAGAGAAACAAGATGCAAGAGTAATACACCCCATGTGGTGGAATCAAGGCTTTTATATGTAAACTGTTATTTGTATTACATCGGGTTACAATTAAAAGCTGTGATAAGTGCTTATGTGGAATATTGAATCCAAAGAGTAAAAAAAAAAAAAAGTTAGGTAACGTCCAATATGCAAATAAAAACTTACACTCTAGGTCATCATCTTCCATCTCTTCACCCTGTGATTACAAAAACAAATTTATTAGACACTAAGGCTAACAAAATACTGAATATAACTTATACAATCTGATAAACAAGCACCACTGACAGTTATAGGAATAGAATTTAAAGGAGAACTCCGGCGCAAAATGAACCTTTGGTCTAATTACACATTGTTACCTAGTCAACCGTTATCTGAGATTTGTTTTCATGATTATCGAATGTAAATAGTTTTATCTCTAAAAACAGTTTAGCCTATAAAGCTAGTATAACGCTAGTATATTGGGCATAGTGTAATGACAAATAAAAATCGCTTGTTAATACCACTAACAAGGCTGAAAATAGCCCCACACTAACACGGTAGCATAATGAGGCTCCCTACCTTCAAACCGAAGCATTGAGAACTTTGTAAGTGTACAGACAGTTTAATAAGAAGATATTTTAAACATACAGTCAACTTCGCGTATACAGGCAGAAGCCATCTTTGAAATACAGCCTTTACCAGTCAATCTACGAACGCCGATCCAAGTGCGCTGGTGAGAATGTGAACGAGCTATAAGTTGTGATAAGGTGAGCGCGAACAGCAGGCTTGGATCGGCGTTCGTAGATCAACTGGTAGAGACTGTTTTTCAAAGATGGCTTCTGCCTGTATACGCGAAGTTGACTGTATGTTTAAAATATCTTCTTATTAAACTGTCTGGACACTGACAAAGTTCTCAATGCTTTGGTTTGAAGGTAGGGAGCCTCATTATGCTACCGTGCTATAGTGTGGGGCTATTTTGAGCCTTGTTAGTGGTATTAACAAGTGATTTTTATTTGTCATTACACTATGCCCAATATACTAGTGTTATACTAGCTTTATAGGCTAAACTGTTTGTAGAGATAAAACTATTTACATTCGATAATCATGAAAACAAATCTCAGATAACGGTTGACTAGGTAACAATGTGTAATTAGACCAAAGGTTCATTTTGCGCCGGAGTTCTCCTTTAATCTGCACTTAATAAAATGTGGCTGATTGGTTCAGGCACATTTGGCATGTCCTGAAAAATTGTGCACAAATTAAATCACATCTACTGTACCTGGGAAGGATTTAAGTAGTTGTAATCATAGTTCCAGTCATATGTAGACGAGTAGCTGGAGTACCCTGGGTAATAGTACTGGTTCAGATATGAGTTATGGATATTATAGCTGTCTGCATGGAATTGCCCATTTTTGTTCTCAGACGACTCTTTCTTCTTCCTGGAGTAGGGAAGGATTAGAAACATTAATGTCAACTTTTTTTGTGATAACAGCATTGTTTATACAGTACTTAAGATTTGGGATTTGATCAAAACTAACTTAAAGGGGTCATATAATGGTACATGCACTTTTACAAGTTGATTGTACTGAAATGTGTGTTGGCAGTGCCTGTACACAACCATCATATAATGATAAAAATCCATCCAGTGTTTTTGTTTTAATCTCCTTATATGTTTTCCCCTGCCTCAAATTGAGCCGTTCGTTTTTGTGACGTCAATAAAACGGACGCCCCTCCCACGATTGTTGATTGACAGGAGTCAGCACAGGAGTTTCAACACAGACCCGCCCTCGCTCGTGAGAGCTGTCAATCATAGTCTGCGCGGCGCGGTCATTGTTGATATGTTGGAGCACTGTCTATGAGCAGAATGGCGTCTTAGCGATTGTGGTGTTCTGTTCTTGGGTGTAATAACGAACACAGCAGTCATTTTGATGTTCCCAAATCCGAACCGCTGAAGACGCAGTGGCTGAGTTTGTTTTCGAAGGGAATATTCCCCACGAGCAACGTCAATGCTTTCATGTTTGCACGAATCATTTCTCAGCAGACTGCTTTATAAACGAGGATCAGTATAAAGCTGGATTTGCTAAGAAGCTGCTCGAATAAAGGAAGAAGCTGCCATGAATAAAGGATCGGTACCAGATATTCGTGTTCCTGCTGAATCTCCAGAAGAACTGAAGTGAGTGTAACGTTTTATTAAACTTTATATTAATATTTATATCTTTGCAAATCGCTAGCTGCACGCTTCACGATGAATGCGGCTAAGGTTTACACTCAGGGTACATTACGGCATGTTTTCTATGTACGACGTTCTCAATATAATTCATAATCCCACGTTTATACTGAACAATGTGTTACAAACGGTGTATGCACAGAACAGAGGGGCGGAGTGAGCAAAGCTCATGATCATTTAAAGTCATATGCACTGAAACGGCGTGCTGAAAACAGAGCTGTTTTTGACCAGGTAAAATAAGTGTTTTCTTACAATACTAATGAGAATTTTTAATTAAAGTATATTACAAAGTTTTAATTTAGACCCTAAAGAATCATATTAGCTTGTACAAAAATGGCATTATATGACCCCTTTAATAAACGCTGGCACGCAAGCCACTTTTGCTACAGACATTAACGATACCTAACAACACTTTACACTGAGCAATGCTTCTTTTCATATACCGTTCAAAAGTTTGTGGTCGGTAAGAAGTATTACGTTCACAGAGGCTTGATCAAAAATACAGTAAAAACAGTATGTGAAAAAAATGCACATTCTAAATACCTATTGTAATAATAATAATATATTTTAATTTAGTCCTGTGATGATAAAGCTGAATTTTCTGCATCATTCCTCCAGTCTTCAGTGGCACATGATCCTTCAGAAATCATTCTAATGATGATTTGATGCTCAAGAATTATATCTTACTATTATCAATGTTGAAAAGAGATTTCTTTATTGTTTTGGAAGCCATGATACATTTTTGACGAGCAGAAAGGTCAAAAGAACGGCATTTATTTAAAATAGAAATACTTAGTAACATTATAAGTGTCTTTACTGTTGCTTTTGAGGAATTTGATGCGTGCTTGCTGAATAAAAGTTTTTTTTTTTTAAACAAAAATCTTACTGACAAACTTTACAAACTTTTAAACGGCAGTGTTTTTTATTTGAAGCAAAGTTTGTGTCCAGATTAACAAGGAAAGAAAAACAAATCCAACCTCATCACATAATTCCCTATCATAACAAATACTCACAGTTTATTTGCAGCCAGATTAAGGCGTAAATGCTTCTTCCCGAGTCCAGAAGCACCCTGGAGTTCTGCCAGAGCCTGTCTCTGCTCTCTCTCACTCTCAAAGCTCACAAAGCCACAGCACCTACAAAACAACAGGAATCAGCAGAAGGAAATGAAGAGGAAAACATTTGACAGGAACTTATCCTTCAGGTCTCACTTTGAGTATCCATTGCTGTCCAGAACTATCTTCCCATTGCAGCAGGATGAAAAATGAAAATTAAAGAACTCATACAACATGCCATCATCCACGTCTGGGGTGAGGTCCGACACGAAGAGGGAGAAAGTAGAGCTGCAGGGAACAGCAGTTAGACAGTGCTGAGAGCATCATGCTGTTTTAATGAATCGCATTGAGTTGCCACATCTATAGCAGTTTATTAACTTTCACTTAATTGTCTGAACTCTTTTTTTACGCATTGATAGTCTCCTGTTGACCACTTTGTGACTGCACTGGACATTTTCAGTTATAGTTATTTGCTTGCAGCACTATATTGCACCAGTCTTTAAAAAAAAAAAAAAGAAGCAAAACATTGTATGGTAGTCCACTCATAAAAAGGAAAAAATGCATTTCTTACCAGCTTTCACCATGTTTCCCGTAAGTGGAACGACTCAACTTGAACCTCTTTGGCTGTAAAGATTGCATTTTAATTTAAGGTTATGATAGAACAGTCTAACATTTTATTTTTTATGAAATGTTCTGCAATGTCATATTTTACAAATATGAACTGGTCATCACTTCAAGTTAGAATAAATTGTGAATGATTACAGGAGTGGCACCAGGTAAAGGTTTTCCATTCACTTTGCGGAGGCATCTCTCTACTGATGTCTCATCTCTCAGCTCCACAAAGCCATATCCTGCCATTTTCCTGGAGAGACCAACAACATCCTGACACTTTAGATAGATAGATAGATAGATAGATAGATAGATAGATAGATAGATAGATAGATAGATAGATAGATAGATAGATAGATAGATAGATAGATAGATAGATAGATAGATAGAATTCTTTACCCTGTTATTTTGTCTCGGATCAGTCTGACTCCCATCACTGTTTCTCCCATATGAGCAAAAGCTCTGTTAATGAACTCTTCATCCATGTAGGACTCCAGCTATCAACACATAACGTTACACCACGAACTTTACAGCCAGATACTTTTAGCGTCACATTCTCGTTTTTGTACAAACTGTAAACACGCAATAGAACACTTAAATATATAGAGATATGTTATATTTGCTGAACTCACGTTGCCCATCCAGAGGCTGTTCATTTTGCGCTCGTGTAATTTGTGCTGTTCCTATTGTTATATTTTACAAAAGCGTGTTTACATTACCGTAGAATTATTGCATTTTTATTTCCAAAAAGTCGCTTCTTTCTTTCTGAAGTGAAACCAGTTCGAGTTACTCGCAGCACGTGCAAATGTTTATAAAGAAGTTATGTTGTCCGACGGCGCCATCTAGAAGCGAGAACCAGCACAGGGTATGCGCACGCACATGCCACGCCCCGCCCCGCCCTATTTCATGTTTGTGGATTGTGGCTGGCTGGCTGATAGACAACGAACTAAGCCCGGGAAGAAGGATCAGCCCCAGAGTGCAGTCTGGACGATGGGGCGGGGCGACACTTTTAGGTGGGGCGACACGTGTCGCTCCGCCCACACCTGATTTTATTGGTTTATAATACAGCAATCTTATTGGCATAGACGCTTGAGGCACGAGCATGCGCATTCCTTTATGTACAAGTTTATGAATTATCTATGACGCTGTTTGGCCGTACTCTGGCCGTACTATAGGCTATTAAGTGATAACCATTGCGATTTCAGTAACGATCAATTGGATAATGTTTTGATGAACTTACGAATCAAGTTAGATGAAGTTACTGTCAAAATGTATTCACAATTCACATCGTTTCAAAGCAGCTTTACAAAAAGTCATATTGTAAGCTTTAATATTGAGCAGTTTTATGGCTTGGCGATATCACAAAATATGTTGCTGATAAATAATACACTGGTTGAGATTTAGCATAGCTATACTATATATTAATTTACCCTGCAGATAAGTCAGTGCCACTTTTGGTGGGCAATGAGCATGACTGCATGAAATTACTGGCAGATCAAAGGAGAGATAAATTTTATGTGGGCTGATTTAGACAATATTTTTCCGCATGTCATGCAGAGCTCCTTAATTTTACATCATTCGTTTATGCTTCTTCGTTTTTCCATTAGGATCAGTGATTAAACACAAACTCGGGATTTTACACAAATTATGATAATACCCTGTATTTCAGTAAAACAAAGGATAAATCCGAAAGTGTGTTTTATTTTATTTTAAAGCAAAACCACGGTGACAAATAAGACAGGCTACCAAATAACAAGCCCTGGCCATTGGGTTATGTGCGTACAATGGGAATAAAATCCGCGTGCAGCGCTGCAATGTAAAAAGTTTTTTTTTTTTAAATGTTTTTTTTTTTTTTTTTTACTAAAACAGATGTTATGTTGATCTATAGCAAATATTGTAATGTAGGCTATGTGCTCAGCGTATTTAAGCAATTGGCCTGCATGTTCATATCACTGCTGGGTGTTTTATTTATTTTATTACAGCCTATTATAATTGCACAGATTTATAGCAGTGTGTTTTTTTATGGTTATGCAGCTAGCCTATATGTGAGTGTTAATATTTGTAACCATTTTAATCAAGTAGCCTATACATGAACATGAACACGCAATGCGATGGTGGATGAATAAACAATTGGATTTTTAATATACCTGATGTCACAGTCACAGATAGACAGTCGTACATAACCAGTTGACACTTATTAGAAAACATGAATCTTTAAAAAATATAACATAGGGCTTTACAGAACCAATAGGCCCTCATATTGTATGAACAGGTAATCAACCAGGAAACGTGTTTGCCATTAAACATTTTATTTGCACTTTGTACCAAAAAATGCAATTGGACAATCTCGTTTAAAAAATGACAACAAAAAACGGTCATGCTTTAAAATTTAAAATCAGCTGCTTACATTCTTACAGTCAATTATCATCATTTGCGTAAAATCCCGAGTTTGTGCTGATCCACCGATCCTGAATATGAAGAAGCCAAGTGAATCACGCACTAATCTAATGTAAAACATCTCCCTGAAGTAGGCTACAAGTAACGTCACCAAGCGTTCGTTTTTAAACAATAACTTAATCTATACTGTGTCTCAATTATAATAAAGAATTAGCCAATAGATATTAACAAAAATTACCATGGTAAACTGATAATAAGATACGATTAAAGTTAGCATTTAATATTTCTTTGATACGGCCAAATCATTCACAAAATCGTACATAAAGGAATGCGCATGCTCAGACCTGAATCGTTTACCCCAATAAGATTGCGGTATTATAAACCAATTAAATTGGGGGTGGGCGGAGCGACACGTGTCGCCCCGCCTAAAAGTGTCCCGACTCATCCAGACTGCACTCTGGGGTAGCCTACTAACGTTCATAGGTTCCGGGCAAGATGGCGGAGTGAGTGCACGTACGCGACGGAGCTGTTCACCCTCAGACATGCATCATAGTGAATAATAGTTACTTTAAATATGTTCTTGGAGATACATTAATACTGAGTTGAGTGCACCGTGTCTATTTATTGTTAAGCTTGTATCGTGTAATATTCTCGCCTCTTAACGACACACGTGAGGAAAAACCTCGGCTAACGGCTTACCTAGCTAGCAAACCACTACTACAGCAGCATGCAGGTACCGATGGACAATCCGCTTGTGAACAACCTACACGACTACTGCATGGCGGATGCTCCGGTGATCTCCCTCGGGGACCCAGATTTCCCCCCTCTCCCCATAACTCCTTCCTCAACTCCCTCCAAACCTCCTGCACCAAAAAAAATGAAGCCGCAGCGCTCCGTGGATCTAGACAGTGAGGATATTGTGCAGAGAATCTCAGTCATCTTCAACACGAGAATCGACTCTCTGGAAAAGAGTGTGGAGAGAATGATTTCCAACAATACTCTAAAGATTGAGGGGCTAAAGAAGACTGTTGATTTTGCCTGCGCTGAGATTCGTGAAGTGAAAGGTAAAGTGACACACATTGATGACCGAGTCAACGTGGCGGAGAAAAAGACGAACATACTGGAACAACGAATCACTGAGCTGGAAAACTATTCGCGACGGTGGAACCTGCGACTCTACGGTATGGCTGAAAACGCAGATCAAAACATCCGCCAAGAGGTTATACACATCTGTCAGTCTATCCTGCCGGAGCACAAGGCCAAACTCCCTGAAGTTATTGACTCAGTGCACCGTCTTGGACAACTAAAGAAAGGTGCCACCAAGCCTCGAGGGATAATTCTACAGTTCAGTGCTCGTATCTACCGCGACGCTGTATGGAAGGCTGCAAAGAAGTCCACCTTCCTGCAAAACAACAAGCTACGTTTTGCCGAAGACCTATCCCCAGCAGTCAGAGAGCGAAGGATGCAGTTGTGGCCTCTGGTGGCTAAAGCGCGAGAACAAGGGAAGGCTGCTTACTTCGTGGGAGGTCGTGCCTTTGCCAACGGGGCTGAACTGTTTCCAGTTACCTGAAAGTGGTAAACGTCACACCTGTTAACATGTGCCTTAAGTCGAGTTAAGCCATAATATCCTAAATACTTGTCATTCACTATATGTTTTTCTATCTGTTCTGAGAAACAATATATTTTTCAATTTATTAGGAAAAAATTGAGCACTTTATAAGGATTATTGAGCACTTTAATGACACTCAACTTAAAATACCTTCAAGACAACTTCTATTACTTCCTGTTCAATTATTTGCAATGTTCTGTAGGCTAACATTTTATGTCTAATTGCTAATAACTTAAGTTGTCGACTGAAAACCTAGGTATTTCCTTAGCTTTCACTGTATCACTAAGTTTCGCTATGCACCTTCTATTTAAGTTAATTGGTGCAGCTCCTTGCAGTATGGTTAAAGTCTAATTTCATCCAAACTTTACTTTTTGCATTGTTCTATCTGTTGTTGTTAATACGTCTTTATCTATCATTACTCTTAATGCCAGGGGGATAAGGAATATTGTTAAGCGCAAGGCGTTGTTTTTGTTTGTCAAGCAGCACAAATCTGATTTCTGTTACATTCAAGAGTCACACTCAGTTCCGGAAGATAGTAGATTATGGAGATCCCAATGGGGGAATGATCTGTGGCAGGCTCACGGGTCTGAACATTCTGCTGGTGTTGCGACTCTAAAATATAATTTTCCAGGGTCTATTTTGTTTTCTGTCAGTGATACTTCAGGTCATTTTATTTTTCAAGTATTAACCATTGAAAACTTTACTTTGATAGTTATTAACATATATGGTTATAATTCTAACCATGAGAACGACATATTGCTTGAAACTCTCGAGAAGCATATACAAAATTCCCTTAATAACTTTCCAAATTCAGGTATAGTAATAGGGGGGGATTTTAATATGATTCTGGATCACATATTGACTGTTGGCCTCCACGTGTTTCCACTGCAGTAAATGTTAATTTAACATTATTTATGAAAAAATTTAATTTGGTTGATGTATGGAGAGTTAACAATCCTAACATAAATGCTTTTACTTGGAGTAATAGAAGTGCCACCAGACGTTCACGATTGGACTACTGGTTAGTTTCTGATCATTTGAATATTGATAAAATTTCAGTTAATATCATCACAACCCCATTAACAGATCATAATGCTGTCTCCATCTTTATCCCATTACAATCTGCCCCTTCCACAAGATGTAGGAATGCTTACTGGAAATTAAACAGTTCGCTTCTAAAACGCGATGAGGTAAAATCAGACATTACAAATCTAATATTGAAATTCTGGAATAAAGCAAAGTCCGAGGGTGCTTTTGGTAGCAATTGGGAACTTCTGAAATTTAAAACTGGCCAATATTTGAGGAATTATGGTAGTATCTTATCCAAAAATCGTAAATTGGAGGAAGAAAGAGTGGTCTCTAATATAATTACCTTATACCAGAAGGACCCTGCAGATATATCAGAAGAGGAACGGCTAACGTTAATTTCGGAACAACTTAAATTAAATGAAATGTACTCTAACAAAGCAAAAGGTGCCTTTATAAGGTCAAGAAAAAGGTGGATTGAAGAAGGGGAGCAGAACTCTGCCTATTTTTTCGGCTTAGAAAGATATCATGGGAAATCTAATTTAATCCAGCAACTTAATATTAACGATACTGTAACTGATAATCCGAAGAGTATAGCTGTTTTCTGTGCGGACTTCTATAGAAATCTATACAAATCAAAATATTGCCATCAATCATCCACTACATTCTTGAACTCTCTGACCGTCACTCCAATCTCTCAAGATGATAGGAAACTCTGCGATGACCCTATAACCTTGCAGGAAATTACATTTGCAATTGAACATTGTAAAACTAACAAATCTCCTGGAGTTGATGGCCTCTCTGCAGAATTTTATCAGGCTTTTACAC